AGATGTATATAGTATAAAATGGCTGAGAAAGAAATCAGAGAAACATCACCCTTTACAATTGCCACACACAAATTAAAATACCTTTGTGTAATGCTAACCAAACAAGAGGAGCTGGGAAGAAGAGAGGGGGGTGAAGAGGAATAGAGAGAAGATCATGGGAGAACAGGAAGGTTGAGTGGGGGGGGTAGAATAGGGGGAAGAGGGAATCATAGGTTAGAAGACAGATCAGGCACCAGTGTGACCTCTAGTGATCTAAAGGGATAACACCAATTGGCAAGCTAAGCAATAGTGGAGAGACCACCTCGAATGCCCATTCCTGATAATGAACTTGATGTCTGTAACCATCCGGGAGCCTTCATCCAGTGACTGATGGAAGCAGAGGCAAACACACACAATTAAGCACTGAACTGAACCCAAGGAACCCAGTGACAGAGAGAGAGGAGTGATGAGCAAATTGGCAAAGAATGGGCTGGCAAAACCAATAGAGACAGCTGATCTGAACAGGGGAGAGCTCTTGGACCCCAGACCAACAGTGGGGAGGCCAGCATGGGACTGATCTGGACCCCCCCCCGAATGTGAGTGTCAGTGAGAAGGCCTGGGCAACCTATGGGGCCCTGAGCTGTGGATCAGTGTCTATCCCTGGAATACAAACAGTCATCGTGTGCCCATAGCACAAAGAGGGATGCTCTCTCAGCCTGGACTCTTAGGGGAGTGCCTGGACCCTACCCTGAGTGAAATGACAGACTCTAGATACCCCCTATGTGGAAGGAACTGGCAATAGGGTGGGAGGCTTGGGGGAATGGGGGGTGCGGGAAGAGGGGAGGGAGAGGGAACTGAGATTGACATAATTTTTTATAAAAAATTATAATTTTATAAAAAAGAAAAAAAAACAAGTGAAAGAACTGTATCACAAGAACTTTGAGTCTTTAAAGAAAGAAATTAAAGAAGACACCAGAAAATGGAAAGAACTTGTATGCTCTTGGATAAGTAGGATCAATGTAGTAAAAATGGCAATTCTGCCAAAAGCAATCTACAGACTCAATGCAATCCCCATCAAAATCCCAGCAAAATTGTTCACAGACCTTGAAAGAACAATTCTCAACTTTATATGGACAAACAAAAGACCCACGATAGCCAAGATAACCCTGCTCAACAAAGCAACATTGGAGGCATTACCATTCCTGACTTCAAGCTCTATTATAGAACTGTAGTAATGAAAACAGCTTGGTATTGGCACAAAAATAGACAGGTAGACCGGTAAAATCGGACTGAACACTCTGAGATTAATTCACAAACTTATGAACAGCTGATTTTCAACAAAGAAGCTAAAATTATATAATGGAAAAAAGATAGCATCTTCATCAAATGGTGCTGAAGTAATTGGATATAGGCATGTAGAAGACAGCAGATAGATCCATGTCTTTCACCACACACAAAACTTAAGTCTAAATGGATCAAAGACCTCAACATAAATCCAGCCACACTGAACCTCTTAGAAGAAAAAGTGGGAGGTATCCTTGAAGGAATTGGCACAGGAGACTGCTTCCTGAACATATCACCAGTAGCACAAACACTGAGATCAACAATTAATAAATGGGACCTCCTGAAACTGAGTAGCTTCTGTAAAGGCAAAGGACACAGTCAGCAAGACAAAAAGGCAGCCCACAGAATGAGAAAAGATATTCACTAACCCCACATCTGGCAGATGGCTGATCTCCAAAATTTACAAAGAAATCAAGAAGCTATTTTCCAAAATACCAAAGGACCCAATTAAAAAGTGGGGGACTGAACTAAATAGAGAATTCACAATAGAGAAGACTAAAATGGCTGAGAGACACTTGAGAAAGTGTTCAAAATCCTTAGCTATTAGAGAAATGCTAATCAAAACAACCCTGAGATATCACCTTACTCCTGTCAGAATGTCTAAAATCAAAAACACCAATGATAGCTTATGCTGGAGAGGATGTGGAGAAAAGGGAACACTTGTCAGTATGGAGATTCCTCAGAATAATGGAAATCAGTCTACTACATGACTCAGCAATTCCACTCTTAGGCATATAACCAAAAGATGCCCATTCATACAACAATGACTACTGTTCCATTATGTTCATAGCAGCATTATTTGTAGTAGCTCAATCCTTGAAGCAACCTAGATGCCCCACAACTGAGGAGTGGATAGAGAAAATGTGATACATTTACACAATGGAGTATTACTCAGTGGAAAAACACAACAGAATCTTGAAATTTGCAGGCAAATGTATGTCACTAGAAGAAATCATCCTGAGTGAGGTAACCCAGTCACAAAAAGACAAACATGGTATGTACTCACTCACATATAGATTTTTGACATGAATCAGGGGAGTGTCAGCCTACAATTCCAGGACCAGTGAGTCTGGGAAACAGGAAGTTTCCCAAGAGTTATGCATTACACTCCAGAGAAGTGGAAAGAGGCCAGATCTTCTGAGAAGATTGGGAACATGTGAGGAGAAGAGAGGGAACCAGGATAGAGAGAGGGGGATAAAAGGAGGGTAGAAGAAGACATGGGAGAGCAGTAAGGCTGAGTCAGGGTAAGAATAGAGGAGACCAGGATGGGAGATACTGTAATAGTTCGAGTCATGATAGCTTTGAGGAGAGAGCTGACACTTCCCAGAGATGTACAAGGATATCACCAACTGGAAAACTAAGTAATAGCGGAGAGACTACATTAATAGCCCCTACCTGATGATAAGGTTGGTGACTACCTTATGTGATATCTAGAACCTTCATCCAGTGACTGATGGAAGCAGAGACAGATACTCACAACTAAACACTGAACTAACCCCCTGGAATCCAATAACAGAGTTGGAAGACTGATGAGCAAGGCTGTCAAGATCATGCTGGTGAAACCCACAAAGACAGCTGACTGGAAAAGGGGGAGCTCTTGAACCCCAGACTGATGACTAAGAGGCCAACAGGGGACTGATACCGACACCGTGAATGTAGTGTCAGTGAGGAGGCCTCTGAAATCTCTGGGGCTTTGGGTAGTAGACTAGTGTTCACCATGGCATGCAAATGTACTTTGGGAGCCCATTCCACGTGGAGGGATGGTCTCTCAGCCTGGACACATTGGGAAGGGCCTATGTCCTGTCTTGGATGAAATGACAGACTCTGGAGATCCCCCCAAGGAGGGCCTCACCCTCCCCGGGGAATGATGTGGGGTTTGGGCTGGGAGTGGGGAGTGTGGGTGGTGCTGTCGCAGGGAAAAGGGGGAGCTGGATTAGACTTTTGAAGCATGCATGTTTCTAATTTAAATAAAAAACATACATAAAAATAAGAAAAGGTATCAAGCCATGTGGCTAAATATAAGTAAGAATAATCGGTTAATTAAGGTTTTAAGAGGTTGTTAGTAGTATGTATGAATGATAGGCCAAACAGTTAATAGTTAGTACAAGCCTGTGTGTGTTTATTTGAGACTGAGCGGTGGCAGGGCAGGGCAGGACAGAAACTTCTATCTACAGATGGCAATCACAACACCCATGTGAATTGTGAATCAAGCAGTAAATAGATCTAAATGTCTGAAGGTCCTATGGTATTCAAGAAGCCAATGACCAGATTAGAATGCTATTTTGCTTTGTCGGTTTTGTTTTGTTTTTTTTGTTTTTCCCTGCTTCCTCCTTACCTCCTTCCTACAAGACAGCCTTTGCAAACCAAAGAGGCTCTCACACAAGTTTCTAGTATGGATTATCAAATGTACTTGTGGGGTTGGGAAGATAGCTTGGTCAATACACTGCTTGCTGTGCAGGGGATAAAGATTAATACCTTAACCCTGCCCCAGCCCTCTCATCCCAAGGGCCTGCTCTAACCCTGTATCTGCTGGCCTATACAAGCTAGGTTTACAAGTCCCATTCTCGTCTTCTGTTTATTGTCGTGCTTTCTCCTCTCTATAGGTCCAGCTCTCAGTACAGTTTGAGGATGAGTGGCATCAACGCTACAGGCTCACTCCTGTCACTTAGCAATAGATAGGAACCACCTGCTGGCACATAGGTAGTTGAAGTTTCAGGGGAGACCCCCCAAGGTCTAGGGGCACACACATTTAGGCTCCATCATCCCCAGGGCCCTCCTGCCTGGAATGCTTGCCTGCCTCTGTTTCTCTCTCAGGCTTTTATCTCCTTACGCAGTTGGCCAGGTTTAGGTAGGTCTGCAGGTATAAAAGGGTCATGGACTCCACCAGCAGATACAGTGCTGCCAAGACGCAGATGCACAGAGAGTGCTCTACAGCCTGCAGCAAGAGAGCAGGCAGCGAGTGAGCACCTTTTCACCTGTCCTAGGTATTCCCAACTCGCCACAGGCCTCAGACACCAACATCTGAGCAGAAAGTCAACCAAGACCCAGGCCAAAGATTACATCCTCTCCGGGTGTCTGCAGGTCGATTTGCTTTTTCCCCATCTTTAATTGTGTGAATTTTGCTGGCGCCTGTTCGGACCTCTGCTGCCAGAGAAGGACATCGGGTGTCCTATTATGCCACTCTTGACATAATTCCCTTCAGACAGTTTCTGTCACTGAACCTGGAGCTAGGCTACGGTAGCCAGCCATCTCCTATCCCCACCTGCTCCATAGCAGTAGGAATAGATTGCAGGCACCCTGTTTTGTTTTTAGTTTGCACTGTGTTGGGGATTTTGGCGGTTAGCTGGCTTTCTCTTGGCACATATTTTTCCCCTGCGTGGATGGAATGCCTTGTTAGGCTTCATCTCTTGTACCTGAAGTCGTCAGAGCCCAGGATGAGGGGCCAGGACAAGTCGCAGTGTCCTCCATTATCAGGGTCTGTTTTAAGTCATAGCCCTGCAGGAGAGAGCCGGAGTGCTGCAGCCAGGCAGAGTGGGCGTGGCCGCCCTCAGTGGGGAAGAGGGCACTCACCCACGTGACAGGAGTGATGGGGGCGGGTGGAGAGGCAGTACTGGTGGACCTACCAAATTCAAGGGTGTGACGTGAGCGGGGCGGTCAGGGCTGTGATGTACCGGAACTGATGGCCTAGTGGGAGGAGCCAGGGCAATTGAGCTGTGGCTGCACGGGGCCGGAAAACTCACCGCAGCCAGACCAACCTCCTGCACCTAGAGTGGACCACAGCCAGCGTGACAGGGACAGCGTCCCAGCTAGGATGTGAAAGCTCACCCGGGCCACGGGAGTCTCATGGGGGCTGCCTGCAAAACTCAAGCCCGGTCAGAGCATCGCAGTGGCGGGAGCCACAGGCCCAGGGCCTGGGAAAATAGCAGGTCAGAGCAGCGGCTGGGGCTCGGGAGAAAAGGACCGTGGTGTGATCAGTTTTCATGTTTACTGTTCAGTAAGGAAACCAGCTTGAAAGTACTATTGCTGTTTTACCCTTTAGCGTAAAGTTTTACTGATACGAACTGGGTCATCCTAGTTTTTATTATTTATCTCCTTTTCCTGAATATTGTCATAAAAATAATCTCGTAGGTCACTCGAAAATGTATGTGTTGGTGTTTGTAAATTCAGAAGAGTGGTTGCGAGGCTGTAAGAAATATTTTAATTGTTCTTCTCCTTGCCGTTGTGGAAATATAAAGCGTCTCCTAATTTAAGCTCGTCCATGAATTATAACATCATGGTCTCCCAATCTGATATGTAACACCATATCATTAGTACCGGCACCTTAGCTAAGAGAGCCTGTTAGTTTGTCAGGTAGGAAGGACTCCGATTTGATTGAATCAGAGTAAATACTTGAGCAAGCCCCACAGTTACAGTTCTAAACATTAACTGCTCATGCTCTCACTGAGATATATTACACTCTGTGATGTAAATACAGCTATCAGAATTACACATTCTTATACTGAGGTCTTAATATCACACCGTATGGTCCAGACAAGCACAGGATGCAAGCTGAGTGTGAGGAGATCACTTCCTACTATTTTTACAGTGAGAAAATGTGTTATAGAACAGGATGATGCTAGAAAGCATCTTTTGAATAACTATGATTACTCACTCACCTTCATCAGAAGGATGTCTCTTTTGTTTCCTTGCTTCAATTGCAGTGGACCGACACATGCCCAAGCTGTTGTGTTTTATTCTATTGTTGACATGCAGTGATGTGGCTATGGACTTTTCCCTGGAGGAGGAGGAGCACTTAGACCCTGCCCGGAGAGCTGTCTACAAAAACCTGACAGTAGCGAACTACACCAGTCTGATTTCTGGGGGTAAGAACAGTTTGTTGGTAGGTTTGTTTTTCTTCGGTGTTTCTTGGTTCTTTTCGGGTCCTTGGTAAATGACTCTGCATGTGTTGAGTTTTGTGGGGGTGAGTCTTAGGTCTCACAGAGCAAAGTGAAAGTTTCGTGGAGAAAGGCATGATTTCATGACATTTTGTTTTCTCTTCATGTTTGTTCTTTTTTGGGGGTTTTAGACTTCTTTCATTCTGTTCCATGAATAATTCAGAAACTAAAGGACAACCTTATCACCCAATCATAAAGCTCTGTTCTTACCTTAGAATTTTGACTGAGCTGTAATTTAGAATTGGGAATCAAGATATACAAATGAAATTGCTTTTTAAAGATTTTCAGTATTATGTAAGGAAATAACAATTGGAAAATGATTTCTAGAGTCCTCTATTTTATTTTCTCATCGTAGAGCACAGCACTGTGCTTGAAATCTAAGTACTTAGGTAAGACTCTGTTTCTCACCTGCAGGTCTTACACTGATGCGCCATCCCTGGAGCAACACAAAGAGCCCTGGAAAATAAAGAGGAGGAAATCACAAAGGTACCAGGACAGTAGAGGCAGGGCCCAAGTTCAGGCTTAGGTGAAAGTGGAAACCTGGTATGAAAATGGTCTTGCCACATCTTCTTCATTAGAAAAGATTTTAAGCAATATTTCTGAGAAGGATCTTCTCAGGATTGTCCTGTTAGAGACATCAGGTTTTCTATGTAAGAATTAATACCACGCGCCAGATGTAGTTTTATTTGACTGTGCTGGTGAGCTGTGATGTCACTGTTCTATGCACATCTCTCTGTCTTCCTACCAGTATGACATGGTTTTCATCACTATAGTTCTAACGTGTTGTAAAGGAAAATTGATGCCTCTACATTTGTTCCCTGTTCTCAGAATTTCAAAGCTACTTGTAGTTCCTTCAGAGTATATGTCTTTTAGAGTTAATTTCTCCGTTTTCTCTAACAATTCCAGAAGAATTGTGGTAAGAATTGCCTACTGTCTTCAAGTATTTTCCTTCTATCCCTTGCTTTCCCCTTCATATATCTGGTTCTCTGTCTTCATGCCAATACTTCATGATTTTAATCTCTATAATTTTAATATACTTTGAAATCACCTCTAAGTTTCATCTTCCTCAAAGATGCTCTCTAGGCTGAGCTGTCCCTTGCTTTATTGATTTTGGACATTCTGATGGGTGTAAGATGGAATCTCAGAGTAGTTTTGATTGGCATTTCCCTGATGGATAAGAAGGTTGGACATTTTTCTAAGTGTTTCTCACACATTTGGTTTCCCCTCTTTGAGAATTCTCTGTTTAAGTCTATATCCTATTTTTTTTAATTGGGATATTTTTTCTTGATATCCAGCTTTCTTTATATCTTTATGTAGTTTAGACACTAGCCTTCTATCAGATGTGTAGTTAGTAAAAAATATTACCTCATTCTCTAGATGGCTGTTCTGTGCTAATGATGGTGACCTTTGCCATGCAGAAACTTTCAATTTCATGAGGTCCCGTTTATTATTTATTAATTTTAGTCCCTGTGCTCTCAGTGTTCTGTTCAGAGAGTCTTCTCTTATGCCAGTGAGTTTCAGGCTATTCTGTACCTTCTTTTCCATCAGGTTCAGTGTATCTGGGTTTATGTAGGGGTCTATGCTCAATTTGGAGTTCAGTCTCCTGCAGCATGGTAGATAGGGATCTTTTTTGCATTTTTCTATATGCAGACATCCAGTTTGACCAGCACTGTTTTATGAAGATGCTGGTTTTGTTCCGGTGTGTGCTTCTACCTTTATCAAAAATTAGATGTCCATAGTTTTGTGGATTTATGTATAGGTCTGCAAGGTAAACCCTTTTTGTGCTACTACCATGTGATTTTTATTACTGTGGCTCTGTAGCACAACTTGAAATCTAGGGTGCTGATATTCCCACAGTACTTTCATTGTTCAGGATTGTTACAGCTATTCTGTTTTTGTTGGTTGTGTTTTGTTTTGTTCTTGGTGCCGTGTGTGTGTGTGTGTGTGTGTGTGTGTGTGTGTGTGTGTGTGTGGTTGTGTGTGAAAATTGTCTGTTCAAGATGTGTAGAGAACTGTGTTGGAATTTTAATGGGGATTGCATTGAACCTGTAGATTTCTTTGGGTAGCATAGCAATTTTTACTTTATTAACCCTACTGATCCATGGCAGAACTTTCTATCTTCTGATATCTTCTTCAATTTCATGTTTGATGTCTTAAGTTTTTTTAATCATATATGTCTTCCACTTTCTTGCTTTAGAGTTACACCAAAACATTTTATATTACTTGAGGCTGTTGTGGAAGGTGTTTCTTCTTCATTTATTTGTCTTATGTATACATGTGGGCTACTCATTTTTTGTGAGTTATTTTAGTATCCAACTACTTTGCTGAAAGTGTTTATCAATTGTAGGTTTTTCCTGGTTGTATTTTAGAGTCACTTGTATATATTGTCATCTGCAAGTAAAAATACTTTGATTTTCTCCTTCCCAGTGTATATCCCTTTGATCTTTTTCGGTTGTTTTATTGCTCTTGCTAAGACTTTAAGTACTGTATTGTATAGACATGCAGAGAGCAGGTAGGTAACCTTGACTCGCTCCTGATTTTAGTGGCATTGCTTTGAGTTTCCCTCATTTTAAGTTGATGTTTGCTTTGGGCTTGCTGTAAACTGTCTTTATTATATTGAAGTTTGTTCTTTATATCCCTAATCTCTCCTGGTATTTTATCTTCAAGGGGTGTTGTATTTTTGTCAGAGGCCTTTTCTGTATCTAATCAGATGATCATTTTGTTTATATGATGGGTTACGTATGTTGTACCATGCTTGCTTCCCTGGCAAGAAGTCTACTTGATCATGGTAGATGATCATTTTGATGTATTCTTGGATTTGGTTTGCAAGTACTTTATTGAGAATCTAAGTTCATTATGGAAATTGGTCTGTAATTCCCTTTTTTCATTGTATCTTTATGTGGTTTGGGTATCAAGGCAACTGTGACCTCATGAAAATCAATTAGGCAGTGCTCTTTCTGTTTCTATATTGTGGAATGATTTGAGGAGTATTGGCATTAATTGTTACTTGAAAATCTGGTAGAATTCTTCACTAAAATCATCTGCCCTTGGGCTGATTTTGATTGGTAGATTATTAATCACTGATTCTATTTTACTAGTGGTTAATGGTCTGCTTAAATTACCTGTCTGGTTTTGATTTAACTTTTGTAGGTGTGTAAACTTTTTCCTGTTTGATAGAGTACAGGTTTTTAAAATAAGTCCTTATGCTTCTCATGATTTCTGCAGTTTCTGTTGTTATGTCCTTCTCTTTTTCTAATTTTGTTAACTTGGGTATTCTCTTTCCACCTTTGAGTTCATTTGGATAAAGATTTGTCAATAGTATTTTTCTCAAAGAACCAGTTCTTTGTTTCTTTGATTCTTTGCATTGTCTTTCTGCTTTATTGATTTCAGGCTTCAGTTTGATTATTTCTTGCAGTATACTCCTTTTGGTGTGATTTCTCTTTGTTCCACATCTCTCAGGAGTGCTGCTGAGTTTATAGTATGAAATCTCTCCAGCTCTTTTATGTAGGCACTTAGTACTATGAACTTGCCTTTCATACCTTAACAGGCATCTCCTTCTATAGGTTAGGGAAATTTTCTTCTATGCTATTGAAAATATTTTCCGAATGTTTGACCTGGGTTACTTTCCTCCTTCTATTCCTATTATTTATAGATTTGTTTTTTTTTTCACAGTGTCCCATATTTCCTGAGTATTTTGACCAAGGTATCTGTTTCTATTGCCTTGTCTTAATGCCTGAAATTCTTTCTTCCATCTTGAGTATTCTTTCAGTGACACTTACTTTTGAAGTTCTTATTCAAGTTTTAGATTTTACCCTGATTTCTCCCATTTTAGGTTTTCTTTATGATCTTATTTTTGCTTTCAGTTCTTGAACTCTTTGATTCAGTTTCTTCCACTGTTTGTGTTTTCGTAGATTTCTTTTAAACATATTTACTAATTTAATCTTTTTTTTTTCTTTTTTCTTTTTGGTTTTTCGAGAAAGGGTTTCTCTGTATTGTTTTGGAGGCTGTCCTGGAACTCACTCTGTAGACCAGACTGGCCTCGAACTCACAGAGATCCCCCTGCCTCTACCTCCCAAGTGCTGGGATTAAAGGTGTGCACCACCAATGCCCGGCTTATTTATTTACTCTTTAAGGATCTTTTGCAGTATAAAGGATATTTATTAAATTCTTTTTTTCTTATGTTTCAGTTGTGTTTCTGGGCCAGTCCAGGAAGTGTTCCTGGGCTCTAGTGCAGACTGGCTATTACTCATTCTGTTTTTATGCCTACAGCTAGGCATCTGTCACTGGGAAAGTTGTAATGCTAGGTGCAGGTAACTTGTCTTTGTTTACTTGGTGATTTATTCCTTGATTTCTGTGACCCTCTGGTTGCTAGGAGAGTGTGGTGGCTGTCACCTGGTAAGAAAGTGTTCTGGGACACTTCTACATATGGTCACTGGGAGTTTAAGGTAAAATTCTTTCCTGGGAACTTGGGGCTGAGATTTAGGAAGAGGGATGAGCTTCAGGCATGGGGGTGGGTGGGGGGAGGCCAATAGAAGGAAGGAAGACATGGTATTTCATTAGAATCCTGGAAATGGGGGCAGATAGTGAGCAGAGGCTATAAGAAGAGGTCTGCTACAGAGCTGGGGATGAGACTGGAGGATTGGATTTGGAAGAGCTGAGGGAGAGGTGAAGATCTGCTGTTGGCCTGTGTATTCACTGGTTTTGTGTGTCAACTTGACACAACTAGAGTTATCAGAAAGGAAGGAGCCGTATTTGAATGCTAGCACCCACGTGGCAGCTCACATCATCTGTAACTCCAGTTCCAGGGAATTGGTGATGCCCTCTTCTGACCTGTGATGCCCTCTTCTGAACTCTGCATGCTCCAGGTACAAAAGTGGTGTGCATGCATCCAGAAAACACACACATGCACACACAGAAATAATAAATAAATGGAAATAATTTTTAAAAGAAATCGTTAAAATATCCACTAACAATCAAAAGATTAAAATATAACTATAACATACTTGCAATGTATGTGTGTGTATATATATTTATATATACTCCATATTTATGTAAACAGATTAGTAATAGTATTGAGACATTCTGAATATATATTTTGTGATAACCAATAAACATAGAATATATTGTTAAATAAGCTATATGAGATTAAGCAAATGTCATGCATTTGTCGTATGATCTTAAATCCCAGTACTCAGGAGGAAGAAATAGGCAGTTCTCTTGTCTACATCATACTTCCAGGTTAGTCTGGGCTAATAAGGATAATTTGTCTCTACCAAGAAGGGGAACTGAAGATGGGTTGGAGAGATGGCTCAGCAGTGACAAGTTTTGGCTGTTCTTGCAAAGGACCTGTATCTATTTCCTACCACCCAGGTGGATCTCAGAACCATCTATAACAATAGTTCCAGGTGATCTGGCATCCTCCTCTGGCTCCTGTAGGCAACAGGCATCCATGGTGTGCAGCTCAAATGCTTACATTAATAAAATGCATTTTAAGTCATTATTTTGCTGACAGGATTTGCATTGATTACTTAGACTGATGTTGGGAATATGGCCATGTGCACATTGTCATTTATCAGAGTCAATGTGCATGGAAACCCCTTTTCTTATTTACTGTCTCTGTCCTTTTTCTGTTTAGTGCCTTACATTTTTTTTAAGCACAAGTGACAGTGTGTCTAAGATCTGCAAAAGTTCAAAGCAGACAAAAACCCAACACTGAGAAATGGAAGTAAGCACAAATTCCGATCCCTGACCAAGAACTCTGGAATTGCTGTCTGCTGGGAAAGGGGAAAAATCAGTTTTCTCCAATGTAGTGACACTGGGTATTAACCCTACTCCAGGGCAGTTCCCATTACCAGGAATAGTTGCCCAACATAAAACAGACTTTGTGTGTGTGTGTGTGTGTGTGTGTGTGTGTGTGTGTGTGTGTGTGTTTGAGAGAGAGAGCACATGTGTACCTTTTGTGTTAGGTTTTTTTGTTTGTTTTCGTGGGTTCTTTTTGGGTTGTTTTGTCTCTCAGTGTTTGTGTGTGTGTGTGTGTGTTTTTTAATTTTCCTGGTTTTTGTTTTTGCATGAGAGACAGTGTGGGGGAGATCTGAGAGGAGTAGAGGGAGAGAAGAATATATGAAAAAGCAGTTTTAAGTAAAAATTCTAAAGCTCATCTTGTGATTATTTAGCTCCATAATTAAGCTTATTCCTGTGCCTTTTAAAAGCTGGTTTTGTTTTTTATTTTAATTTTCTAATTTATTTCTCCATGTGTTCATTATAGGCATATGGGAAAACTAGTAATTTTTATAGGTTAATTTTCTAGTCTTCAGTATTACTTACAGCACTTATCACCTCTCAGAGTTTCTCATGTGTCTGTGGGACTTGTGTTTATATGATCACATCATTGCCAAAACAGAGTAGTTTGAGGCATCCCTTTCCTACTTCCATTGATGTTATTCTTTGATTGCTTCAATTTTCTCAAGCTAACTCTTCATGCCCTATATCAAACAAGACTGAAGAGAGTTTCTATATTTCTCTTGTTAAAATTTTATAGGTAAAGGCTGGAGAGATGGCTCAGCAGTTAGCACTTATTGCTTTCAGAGGACCAGGGTTCAGTTCCAGTACCCACATGGCCTCCCACAAGCAGGGAATCCAGCACCCTCTTCTGAACTCCAGAGGCACCAGGTACACACATGGTGCACATACATCCATGCTGGTAAAACAGTCATAAAATAAACAAGTCTTTGCAATGACAATTTTAGAAGTAACGAAGTGGATCTTTTTCTTTGCCCTGCGCTGACTCAGTTGTCCTAGGTTTGGTGTATACATTCTTTACTGCGTGAGCTCTATTGCGTGTATTCCCAATTCCTTTAGGAGTTTTACCATGAACACTTACTGAGCTTTGTGAGATGACATTTCTGTTTCTATTGAGAATTTTATTCTGTGGGATGTTTCTTCACTCTGATTTCATTGCTGTTCTTGTGGGCTGGATTATTGATAGCACATTTCTGTCTTTCTTCTCGGCATCAGTTAATCCTCTGCTGTGTTGGGACATGGTTGGTTAATTCCTGTCTCTCCTGCATTTGTATATTACTCAAATGAAAGTATCATTTCCTGTCTTCTCATGGATATTTTCTCTCTAATGATTTAGTCTATGGCTTACCTGTGTTTATCATCTGCAATGCTGCTTGGCTGAAATGAATTGTGTTAATATTTATGATTATCATGAAATGTACTCCAGCAATTTTGAAAAAGTCAGTTTTCCTGGCTTCAACAATGTGGTTGACAGTTCTTTTCATTCCGGCTTTTAAATATGTATCCCATGCTCCCCTAGCGTTAGTATTGTTGACACAACATCTGGTATTATTCTGAGGGTTTGATCCTTTTATGTTATCATTGTTCCCTAAGAGGTCTCAGTATTAATATTAGCTTTTTATGTTTCATATTTTGATATGAAAGGAGCAGAAGAGGTCCTGTCATTGTTACTCACACAAGAGGCTGAGAGAAGGGACAAATGGATGGTCCTCTGGTGAACACATCTCAAGTTAGTAGCCATATCTACTGTTCTGTGAAAATCACTATGTATTGAAACCTCGCAATCCTTTAGTTATCTGCTTCTGATAATGTTATCTAAAGTACTTAATTTCCATATCTTTGTCTCCTTGTATATAGGAAAGCTCTCTATCTAGTTGTACGTGATAAAAGTATGGTTTGTTATTTCAGGGTTACTTGACATTCAAGGATGTGGCTGTGGACTTCTCCCAGGAGGAGTGGGAATGTCTGGACTCTGTTCAGAGAGCTTTGTACATTGATGTGATGTTGGAGAATTACAGAAATCTGGTCTCTGTGGGTGAGAACATTTTTCTTACAGAATTTCTAGCTCAATCTTGTCCCATTCTTGCATGACTCTGGGGACTTGACCTGAGTAGAGACAATGAAAGAATGAAGAAAAAACAAACACCTGAACACACAGAAGAGCTTGGATCTGGTGGGTTTAACTCTTAGGTAGAGAAACCACAGCAACCTAGAAGTTCAGTCTATTTATTAAATAGAGTTGAACAAGGAGGTGTGGTTATTATATAAGGATGAACAAGGAGGCAGGTTTATGGTGTACAGCTGAATCAAGGGGACAGGTTTAGCTCAACTTAATAAGGAGCCATCACTGTAGTGGAGCAGCCACAAACATCCAGTAGAAGAATTCTAAGGTGGACATTTTCTGCACACACTACCAGTGTGTCACTGTTTCCATCTACCCCAGAGAAAGGTTTGCTATATTTCTGAACCTCACCCTGAGGAGGAAGACTTTGTCATTTTCCAATGGGTCTGAGACTATGATCCTTGACACGGCCAGGTCTGTAACAGTCGACTTTCACTTAGGACTTCACACATTCAGGGCTTCCTCAGTTCCTAACATTCAGCCTTTATATAGATCAGCTTTGAAGATGTATAGTCTCTGTGTGAAGCTGGCTCAGAAACTAAAGGAAATTATCAAGATTTCAGTAGTAGAAATGAAGTTTTTCATGGTGTTATGTATTTGTTTTGTCTTCCCTTTTGGAGGTATTATGAATTCTTCATTTTTGTTCTATGATACATTCAGAGACTCACTAACATATGGCATGTCCCCCTATATCTTGAAGTTCCATTTTCATCATTCATCTGATACAGTTTTAAAATACACAAGCTGAAAGCACTTCCCTAAATATCTTCGAGATACTGACAGGAAATAACAATTGGCAATTTGTTTCTAGATGCCTTTATTTTGTGCTCTGGTCATCTGCTGAGCCCAATATTGTGTTAGCTTAAATGTCCAGATAACTTTATAAAGAATCTAGCAAGGGTCATGTGCCACTTTACAAAACATAGGACTTGCATGCAAGGTAGACTTGCTCACCTCTTTGGAGTCAAGCAAAGTATCCCAAAATGTGAAGAGAAAGGGGAAAAATCACCAGATACCCATAAAACTAAGTGGGGTTGAATGAATGAGCAGGTCGAAAATGAGGGGTTCAAGTGAAGTAGGAAGTAATATCTGAAAAGGGCTGTACCACATTCCGTTCACTCATGGTAATTCTTGACAAGTTGACTGCGTATGTTGTCTTAAAGATGCATCAAAAAGACTCTGTGTCTTGTTATATCTGAGTTCTGTTGACTTAATAATAGCTTGCAAATGCTGTCATCGTGAAATTACTGTGTTTTTTATAATCTGTCATAAGTCACTGAAGTATTATTCTATCATTGCCATTCTTGTAAATATGACATCGTGTTGCATCCTTCATTTGTTTTCTCAGTGGAATTGCCCTTCCAGAAAGTCATCTCAGGAACCAGTGAACGCAGTGGCCTGGGGAATAGGGCAATATGTGGATCTGAGTCAATATAGAGTTAGAAATAAGCAATTACTGGCAAAGAAGTCTCTTTCTCTAATGATCTATGCATACAATATCTAGCAGAAATATTTACTTTGCGCATAAGCTTTTCAAGACTCTGACATGACTTTGAAAAAAATTCCTTATGAAGGTGTCAAGTAAGGATTTAACTTTGAAATAAATTAAATATTCTAAAGAGTAATCTTTGCTGATTTACTTAGTGAGGCAAATATTATAAATGCTGTATTGGATTAAACTATTTCTTTAGTCATTTTTGAAGAATTTAAATAAGAAATATATTCTCAATATAGTCAGAGCTCCATCCCAAATTTAGTTATTGATTCCTCAGTTACGTGTACCAGGTTATACATTTTAGGTAAGAATGAAGTGGCTACTAAAAAACATTGACCCTTAAAGATTATTACTCCATACATTTTTGTGAGAATCCATAACAATTATAATGGGCAAAAGAATGTCCACTACTGAGAACTTTATTCATAGTTACTGGTTTTCTTAAAAGAGCAAAGTTAATGAAACAATCACATTTTGACTGTGTTTAGTCTTATATCAAACCCTATTAATCTTAATGTCTCATTTTTTTCAGAGAACTATTGCATGTGTGCTATTGTCCATCAACAAGTGGATTGTGAAGAGAAGTATTCTAAATGCAATGAGCTTGATGAAATGCTTCATGAATCCACCAGATGCACAGTTTATAAAACAAGTAATACTCTAGAAAACTCTAGTATCTTTAGCTGTGACTCTAGTTACAGGGATGCCTCGATTCAGTCATCAAACTTTAATAGATATCGAAGCATACATGCTAGAGAAGAAACTTGCAAATATAAAAACTCATCATTTGCTTCTACCTACAAACTTATGCAACAAGCAATCTGTATTGGAGAGAAACCACACAAATTTAGGAAGTGTGGAAAATGCTTTGGTTCCTGCTCAAGTCTCACTGAACATCCAAGAGTTCATATTGAAAAAAAGCTGTATAAATGTGATGTTTGTGACAAATCTTTTACCCATTGTTCAAATCTTAGAACACATAAAAAAATTCATACTGGAGAGAAACCTTATAGATGCAAAGAATGTGGTAAGTCTTTCCTTCAGTTGTCAGCTCTTAAAAGCCATTACATTGTTCATACTGGAGAGAAGCCTTTCAAATGTCAGGAATGTGACAAATCCTTTGCCCACTGTTCCACTTTCAGGAGACATAAGAAAATCCACACTGCTGAGGAACTATATAGTTGTCAAGAATGTGGCAAGGTGTTTTATCAGTTGCTATACCTTAAAAGCCATTACAGAACCCATATTGGTGAGAAGCCTTACAAATGCAACGAGTGTGACAGATCATTTATTCACTGTTCATCTTTTAGAAAGCATCAGAAAATACATTCTGTAGAGAAACTGTATATGTGCAAAGAATGCGGTAAGTCTTTCCTTGAGTTGTCACATCTTAAAAGGCATTACAGAACCCATACTGGAGAGAAGCCTTATAAATGTGAAGTATGTGACAAATCCTTTACCACAAACTCAATTCTGAAAACACATCAGAAAATTCACTCTGGAGAGAAACCTTACAAATGCAAAGACTGTGACAAATCTTTTACCCAGCATTCAAATCTTAGAAGGCATCAGAGAATTCACACTGGAGAGAAGCCTTACAAATGTCAGGAATGTGAGAAATATTTCACCCGGTTCTCAACTCTTAGAAGGCATCAGAAGATTCACACTGTAGATAAAAATGCTATTGTAAGTAAGGTGGCATATCCTGTATCCCGATCTTTATCGTTGAGAGCCACAACAGGATCTATAATAGAGAGAAACAAGGACATCAGAAACTTTTGAAACCGTTTAATGAAGGTTGAAATCGTAGAAAATATCACAAGAATTTACACTAGAGAAAATTCTTGCAGGTATAACCATGTGGGAAAATTTTTAAGAAAAACATTTTTTGTAGTACAATATAAAAAGTAGATATAGCCGGGAGATGGTGGCGCATGCCTTTAATCCCAGCACTCGGGAGGCAGAGGCAGGCAGATCTCTGTGAGTTCGAGGCCGGGTTGGACCGATAGCCTCCAAAACAATACAGAGAAACCCTGTCTCATAAAAACCAAAAAAAAAAAAAAAGTAGATACAATGAGGACAAAACGTAGGAGCCTAAAGAATGGGACCAAGCTTTAGTTTTTGTACCATTCCTGTATATCGGGAAATGCAGACTGAAAAGAAACCATGTGAAATGTATTACCTGTGTGTCATCCTTGAGTCTTGTTGTTCATGGAAATTCCACATGTTACAGAATCCTCATAACACATTCAGTTTGTCAAATTCTTTTTCTAATGCCAAAATTGTAGACACCCCAAAAAAATCTCATCCTGAAAGAAACCCAAGAAAAGGCCTTAATAAAAATTTGTTTTATTCATTATGGAGCAAAACTTTGCAAATATCAAGAATGTAAGAAACCTTCACAGAGGCAAGTAACAACACATGCATGCTCATGAATAATAGCTCTGAAGGCTGCAAGAAAGTACAGGAAAATCATTTTTAAGTACTCACCATTGAGGGGGTATTTAATCTTGCTTCAAAGTGTAATAGAAGAGTCATATTAGAAAGACGAAGGCATAAAGTCATAGACATTATAAAGACCAGTGTGTTATAAAGAACAAAACCAAATGAATACATGGATTTATTATGGATTCCAGTGGAAGTGGATTCTTATATTTGAGCAAATATGAAAACGCTGTTTAGAAAAGTTTTTTCTAGTGTTGGAGTTTGTTGAAATGTGAACACAGTAGGTATTTCACAGTTTGTTGAAATGTGAACACAAGCTGTCTTGTTTGCAAATGATTATGTGATCATTTTTGTCAACTCCTGCTGCGTCAAGCCTGACCCTATGACACAGACAGAGTTATGTAGTTAGTGACTGACCCCTAACTGCTCAGAGACACCAATGAGCTGGAGAGCACTGATGCCAGTTTCAGATTGAATTGTAAATAACTACACTACCACTACCCCCCATGCCTTCCTCCAGCTTGTATGCTCTTGCTGCCTGCCCCCTCTGCTGCGTTCTCTGAGCCTTGGAGGGTGAATTAGTCAGGATTCTCTAGAGAAGTGGTTCTCAAACTTCCTAATGTGTGACCCTTTAATATAGTTCCTCATGTGGTTATCTCCAACCGTAAAATTATTTTTGTTTCTACCTCACAACTAACTTTCCTACTGTTATGAATCATAATGTAAAATCTGTTTTCCAGTGGTTTCAAAGGGGTCTTGACCCACATGTTGAGAACCACTGCTCAAGAGGAACAAAACTGATAGGATGAATCAATATATAATAAAGAGGGATTTATTACAGTGGATTACAGGCTGTGTGGCTAGTTCCAAAATGGCTGTCTCCTGATGGAAAATCCAAGATCCTATAGTTGTTTAGTCCATGGGGCTAGATGTCTCAGTTGGTCTTCAGTATACATTGAAATCCTGAAAAAGTAGTTTTTATCTTTTTTTAATTAAAAATAGATTTTTTATACAGTATGTTCTGACCACAGCCCCCAGCCCCAGCCACTCTAAGATCATTACCACTTTTCACCCACTGAAATTGGCACACTTTCCTCTTTCGTCAGGAATCTAAAATAATGACGGTAAGAATAATAAAGTGAGAAATCCGGAATAGGACAAGCAGTATGTTCTAATACGAGGGACATAGTGCCTCAGCAGCAGGATAGATGGACTTGTTAGTGAGAGTGGGAGGAAACATCAAACAGAAACAACTTCCTTGTCCCATGTTCACTTATAGAGCCTGCCACCAGGAATTGTGACCCAGATTTAGGGTGGGTCTTTCCATTTCAAGTTATCCAATCTGGAAAAGTCCCTCAACAGTGTGTTCGGTTGTTTGGGTTTTGATTGACTCCAGATGTAGTCAGTTGACAACCAAGATTAGCCATCACACAGGCCATGACCCAAAAGTTTGGCTATAATCTTCTAACTCATGTGTTCCTTTTATTTACCTATCTGTTTCCAGAGTACAGCTGATGGTGAATACAGGTATTTCATTTCTTTTAAAAGTCCAATGAGGAAAAGAAACAGAGTGATATCCCAAAGAACACTAACAGCTGTAACGACCCACTGTTACAAATACAATATTGGGAAGCAGCTTAATCGCGTATTGTGTAAATTAAAGCAATCACAGCTGATGTGCTGTTCTTTAACTGGGGCCTGTGAATTTCCTGGCCAAAGGTTTTGTGGGACTGTGCAGTACCAGATATGAATTTCCTCTTGTGTAGCTGGCTTCTAGTCTAATGAGATAGCTGGTTCTATATATAGCCACTTAAGCACTGTTGCTCTAACTAACATAGCTTGTCTGGCCCTTTCATTATGAGGCATTCAGAATCCATACCTAAGTAGGACTTTTGGGCTATAATTCTCCCCAGCAATCTTAGTAGCACACACTGGCCCTGCATAGTTAGACCACAGGTAGAGCACTTCCAGTTCAGTCCTAAAACCAAAGCATTGTAATGTCTTCAGCTATCCAGTTCTTGAATGCAACCAGTATCAACGGCAGTCGCCTCATTTTAGGGGCCCCTAGAGCCTCCCTGGCTAACATCACACAACAGTGGAATTTTACTCAAAAGTATGGCATTTCTGGGAACACTTGCTTTTATTAGATTTAACTGTATGTCTCTCAGTGGATCTTTAAATCTGAAACACACTTAAAGGTTAGTATTATGTTTTCTGTATATAACAAAATTTTTTAGAGAAGTTTGCCAGGGTAACAATGGCAAGTCTGGAACCACTGTCCCATAACAAATGGTATGGTTATAAAAATGGTGAAGCAATCTACATATCTGTTCTCTGAGCAAGTGTTAGGTGATCACAGATGCTTACGGCTCAAAAGATTCTAGCCCACACTGATAGCAAGGTTTTGCACATTTATATTTTATATAAAATACTTTTCTGTAGCTGTTATATAAAACTGTTATATTTTTCTGGCTGCCTCACGTCTCAAGCTGCATGCTTTAATAAGGGCTTTTTGAGTTCTTTTTTTTTTTTTACTTTTTATTTTTTTTGTTTTAACCCCATGAATTCAGTGGGTCTATCTCTAGTGCGCAGGGAAATAACCACCTAACTTTTTTGGCTATGCCTGTACCTGTCTCCTTGACTCTGCCTACTCCTATCTCTTCAGCTGACTGAACTATGCACACAGGAGAGAAACGCATACTATCTACTCAGGATACAGCTGGCTACCATTTATTAAGCCGAACCAGTTTATCATGTCTTGTTTTACACAGGAGTGTACAGAATGATGCTTATTGGATTACTAATCCTGGGCCCTACACGTAATCAAAGCACAAGCGCTATCAGTATCAACCAAAAGTCCAGATATTTTTGACATTAATGTAACATTGCTTTTTGCAGTCACTGGGTATAGTTCTCACCTGCAGGTACTCCTTGCCACTCTGTTAGGGAAGGAGCTATAGAAGCTCCCCCCCTGTGGTGCTAGATTGTTCTGCCTGGATTATATGTTTCTAGGCAGGGCTGGAGTGATATCTTGGCATCAAGAGGATTTGTGGCTGTTCTGGAAGATTGAGGCTCAACTATTAGCCCCAAATGGTGGATAACGATCACAACCATTTTTCACTCCAGATCCAGGCAATCTGACACTATTCTCCATGTTTCTGCTGGCACTGCCAAATATGGTGCACACCCGTGCAGGCAGAACACTCATAAAAGAAAATAAGTATGTAGTTTAAAGTTTCTGTGCTGATAATGGGGGAGCCATTTGATGAAAAATGCTTGGTGTCCTTCCTGACAAGTCTTCTCGTGTTGAAGCACTTTAATGAGACTTGCTTGGCTCATCACAGCAAGCAATTGTAGCGTTATCAGAGGCTACACCTGTTTCAAAAAAAAGTGACACCACCTCCAACTTCCCTTAACTCCCGATAGACACCTGGCAAAGGGTGACAGCCTTATGGGTCCCTACAGCCACATGAAATGTTGATGGTCCCTATATTGTGAAGCCTTGTGCAGATGATCACACAGCAACAGCTGTCTCATGCCTAGATGCTTTTGCTCAGTGTACTTCTCCCCAAATTTTGGCTCTTGCTTCTCTCATTTTTCAACTCTTTCACCAAGTTCCCTGAACTTTGGAAGGGGTATTTCATTGATTCCACCTGGCATAGAGTCTGCCAGCATCATTTATTCTCTTGAGTTGTTCTAGTTTGGAGTTTCTGCATTACCCTGTGTCTACTGAAATAAGAAACAAAATACTTAACTTTCATATAAATATGGAAATTTAAGAGGGTGGTTGGCATGTGATTTTGAGCACAATAGCTATACTATGTCCCCCTAGCCCCTATGTACTTTCATGCACCATATTCTTGACCAGGTTTACAGAACCAGGCATGTCTTTTCTCTCTGAAGGGAGCTTTCAATTCAATCAGAAAAGGCGTTAATTATTGTATTAGTTAAGTGGTAGGGAGGCATGGCAGTTGGAGTAGGAGAAATGACACCTTCAATAGCAGACAAATGGACAGAAGTGTGAGTGACTCAGGGGCTCCCCACCTCTTAAAAACTTTCCCCCAGTGATGTACTTTGTCCAGTAAGCTACACTCCCTCAGCCTCCTAAAACAGTGCCACCAACTGGGGACTAAGTGTTCAGTAGAGATTTTTCTACATTAACAACCATCCGCTGCATAAGAAAATAGCTCTGCTGAAGCCCAAGAGCTGAATTATTCTATGGACACACACACACACACACACACACACACACACACACACACACACATACACATTGTCCATTTGCAAAGTACCAGTATATAATGGTTCACATTCATTCTAGCATTTATTTTCAGGTGCATTTGTTAAGATGGCCATTTTGAGTGGGGTGAGGTGGAACCTACATTGATACTTATTCCTCATATCTTTGATACCTATATATATTGTTATCATGTATTGACAAGTACCCACACTGATTTTATATCATAATTAATAGATATGAGTTTACTAGTAGATCTTATGTATACTGACTTTAAAGACCTTGTCTTAAATATGAAACTAAAAGAAATGGATGAATTTCTAGATGCATTTGGCATGTCAAAATTAAACCCACATAACATCAAGAATTTAAAGAACTCTATAAGAATTAACTAGATCGTGACATAATACAATGTCTCATCTGCCTCTAGAAAGAAAAGCCCAGCACCATATTAACTCAGCACAGTACTCTACCAGAATTTCAGATCAAACACCAAAGCTGTTTAAATTTTCTACAAACTAAAATGGGAGGTTTCCTTACTCTATTTATGATCTATTATTATGGTACTAAATAGGTAAAGATTTTTCCAAAAGGAAATTACAGACTGATTTCGTCATTTTAAAGATGCTAATCTTTACATTTACTGCTTAAAATATATAAGCCTTGAATCCTACCCCCTTTCATACTCTCAGCACATTTCTATATATGTAACTATTCATTTTTTGTAACTGTTATGGGATTCAATGACAGGAAAATCCCAAGATCATGAACAAATCACCTGGAGTCATTATTTAATTCCAGTGGGGCTGTCCCAAGCAAAATATCAGGAAGCCACCTCAACATCTATTTCCTTTAGCTTGTTAGAGTGAATAAAAATAGTTGTGATGAATACAAACAGGTGACTCTGGACATCTGCATCAAGCAACCATTTACAGAAGCAGAGATAGCTATTAAGTGGTCAAAGTCACATTATGTAGCAATTTATGGCTGGTCCAGAGCCCAGTATACCTTAGGAAATTATGGCTGATTTAGTGGCTATAGATGGTTTTGCCCAAGATAGTTCTTAGTAATTCTGTCATGACATGCCATAACCATA